AGGCTCCTGAGGCAGAAGCCCCAGGGGGAGGAGGAGAAGAACATTGATAGACCGGCCTGCCCTTGCTGTCTGTGACAGGGAGATGAGGAAATGTGGTGGCCACAGATGGGAAGTGCTCCCCCTCCCCCATACAGAAATAATCATTTCTTTTGAAATGCCCATTTTTCTGTCTTTTTGCTGTTTGGCAATTAATCAAAGAGAGAAGCAACCTGGAATTAAGGAGAAACTTCCTAACAGTGAGGACAATTAACCAGTGGAACAGCTTGACTCCAGAAACTGTGGGCGCTCCATCACTGGAGGTTATTAAGAAGAGACTAGACAATTACTTATCTGAAATTACATAGGTTCTCCTGCTTGAGCAGAAGGATGGACTAGAAAACCTTCAAGGTCTCTTCCAGCTTCTATTCTATTCTACATTTCTCTTCTCTTCTATTCTTAATTTATTATGCCCTCATCCAAGGAATTTCTTACCATGCTGACTGTGGCTTTCTATAACCTCTTTTTCTTTCTCTTTCCTTGTTTTTTACAGGGCAGCTTAAAAAGAAAAGGAAGGGGAAGGGAGGACTTTTTCCCCAATATCTAAGGAGCATCTTTTTCACAAAACAGGACAACTTTCTTCTGTGATGGAGCAGAGTTCTGCACCCACAAAGTTTGCATTGGAAAGTTTGGTCTTAAGGACACTGGCTTAAAGCAGATCTGTTGTGCTTTGTATTCCACAGGTTGAACTGCTTTCGTTGGATTGTCCCTGCTAATGGGGAAGTTTCGATGCGCATCCATTTCTCTTCCACCAAAACAGGACTCTTTGATCAGGTCCTAAATTTTGAAATCCTTGGAACTCGGAGACAGTATCAGGTGTGCTGCAGGGGCACCTGCACATACCCCACCATTTGCCAGGATCCCACGTAAGCAGGAGGGAACAGCTCCACCCATCTTCCATGCTACAACACAGAGCAATGAAGTGGGCATATATTGTGGCCCTTATTGTGTCCTCCAATTGAATGCAAGAAGCCCCCCATCTTGGCCTTTGGCTGAGGAGTCACTTGTCTGTGGCATCATTTCATGAATAAAGGATGCTACCTTGTGGGTTTTTCTGCCTTTTGTAAGTTAGCGGTCAGAAACCAAATTGGAAATCAAATAACGTTACTGTGACCAAATCTCCTCTTAACATCTTAATTGTTTTCAGTTACATGTGATTTTTCTGTTTCAAATAGTAAGGCTGAGCCAGTTGCTAAAAAGTTATCTTCCTACAGACAGCAAAATAAATGGTTCCATCTAAAATGGGTGGGAATTACATTATCCTAAGAATAAAGATTATACTTTTCAACAATTTGTTCTCTTTGTACTCTCAACATTGGCTGATACTGCAGGACAAGAGCGTCCTTCTTAAGAGCAACAGAGACTTAAGGGAATTGCTCTGTAGAGAGTCTGGTCTGCATTGAGTATCCCAGTTCTTCAGATCAGTTTCCTCGTTCTCCTTGCTCCCCAGGAACCAGTGGGGTTCTTTAGTTGCTTGCTTGCATCAGCTCCTGCCTGCTCAGGGATCTCTGAGTGGTGTGTTGTATGCTTGGACCTCTTATTTTGTTCAGCTGCTAATGCATCCTTGCTTTTCTGATCCAGGATAGTGTTCCCACACCGTAAGAAGACTATCAAACCTGATGAAATTGTGTACAAGAAATACATCCTGAGCTTGGGTATATTCCACTTTGGTCCCTTGCTTTGTGGCAAATCAAGAGAAAGGTAAGTGTTTGTGGGATATAAGAGGGTGATAAGGAAATACTAGAAAGCTCAAGGGGATTTTCAAAAGGAGATTCATTTTTTTCACCAAAGCCATCAAAAGCAACATTGGGCTGAAGGGTTTTCTGGCCTCTTCATGCTTCTAACTGGGAAACTCCCTAAAGAATATATCAGTAGCCAGAATAGCCTGACTGTGGAGTACGGAAGTGTAAGCTGAATTGCCTTTTCATAT